TAGAACTACTATTAAATATTTAATTACTCTGAGTCTTTCTGTACTGATACATGTCAATAGAAACTTGTAAATGCTGGGCTTACTTAAAAATTGCATGTCAGCTTTGCACTGTACATTCAGAATATATATGAAACAATAAAACTTCTCAGTGAGCTAAAAGCAACAAGTGTTTACCCAAAGTTATGAGAAGTCTAAAATTTACTAGAATTTCTTTTTTTAATGTAACAGAGGATATCCTACCATTCTGTCTGAAAGCAACTGGTGTAACAGTGAGCAAAGGGAAAGCATGACTGCATATTCAAAGGATCTGTGGCTCACAGGAGAGATTTCATGATTTCATATAACTGATGAGCAACCTGAATATAAATTACAGGAAAAAGCACAGAAAGACCAGAGAATCAGTAAGCCTGAGCGATGAAGGTATAACATGGAACAACCTTCCCTGTATCTTTGTGAACTACAGCCTCGCTGTCCTGAGATTTTCTACATTTATCATTCCTCATGTAAAGTGCTAAATGTTACACAGTGAATAACTGTGGCATTATTTCACCTCAAGGAAGATAAATCTACTGCTTCCAACTTTCAAGAGGAAGCGAGCAAACCAAGGAGCATCTAATTCACTCTACAAATAGCAGGATCTAACAGCAGACTGCCAGTGGCAAAGCATAAACCTTTTCTGAGGGCTCAAGCAGTCCGATTTGAGCAGACCCAGCTCATATCTTCACGTATAATAGCTCTCTTTTTGTGGTGCTCTCTGACTGCTAAATGAATTTCAGCCCCAAACGTATTTTTATTCATTCAGTCTTAAAGATGCAATATTGATAAGGTTGTATGGAAAAGTAGGGAAATAGAATTACAACAAAAAACTGTTCCAAACACCTTCGTAGGCGGATTGCGATATAACCTGTTGTAGGCATATTTCAACAGAAGGAAGAGCCACGTAACAGGCTGCCGGGGCTGCCGGGCGGGTGTGTGTGGATGTGCGTGGGTGCCTCTCCCCGGCAGCCGGTGCCTCTGCTCCATCCGTGCTGCAGCGGAGGCGCCCGGCGGCGCCTCCAAGGGGCGACCCTCCCGGCCTGGGGCCGCGGAGGGGTGCGGAGGGGAGCAGGGCTGCCCTCCTCGCCCTCCTCCTCCTCCGCCGCCTCCTTCACGCCCTGTGCCCGTGGGGCAGAGGGCAAAGTTTTCTCCCCCGCACAGGGCGGCAGCGGAGACAGCCGCCACTGCGGACCTGCCCGCTGCCTCTCGCCGCCCGGCTGCAACTCTCAAGAAGTTTCAGCCAGCGAGCAGAAACGGGGCTGAGCCTGCCTGCGTCCCCGTCATTCTCACCCAATTTTTTTCTTTTTCTTTTTTTTTTTTACCTCCCACCCTCTTAGTTTCTGGATTTATTTAATCTTTATCTACACGCACACACACGCTCCTCCGGGAAGCCCTCGGGTGCCACCCGGGCCGGCAGAGCCGCTGCGCTCCGCGCACGCAGCGCCGCGATCCGCGGCCCCGCTCCGGCGGGGCGTGCGCGCAGCCCGGCGGCGGCAGCAGCGCCGGCCCCGCTCCGCGGCCCCTGCCCGCTCCCCGCCGCGCCCGGCCCGTGCTTACCTGCGATCTCCTGGTAGGGCACGCTGGCCAGGCTGAAGCCCTTGGCGCTGTACGCCTGCCGCACCTCGCCGCAGCTCCGCGCCTTGCCCTCGGTCCCCGCGGCCGGCAGCACCGGCAGCGCCGGCAGCAGCAGCAGCAGCAGGAGCGGCGGCGGCGGCACCGGCAGCAGCGGCCCCGCCAGGGCGCAGCGCCGCGCAGCCCCCCGCGCCGCCGGCATGGCGCGGAGCGCAACTCCCGCGCGGCGCGCAAGTCCCGCGCCGCCGCCTCCGCCGCTCCGCCGCGCCTCCGCCGCGCCCCCCGGCTGCGGGGGCGGCGGCCCGCGGGCCCCCCGGCCGCCCAGGCAAACTTTTGCGAGGCGGGGGGGAGATGGGCGCGCACACACACACATGCGCGCACGGCGGGGGCAGGAGAGAGGTAGCCTTGTCCCTCCGGCTCCTTCTCCAAGCGCAGAGCGCTCGCCTCACGCCAAAAAGAAAAAAAAAAAATTAAAAAAAAAAAAAAAGGAAGAAAAAACCCGAACCAAAACCACAAGCGGATACCCCACGACCAAAAGAAAAAAGAAAAAAGGCAAAGGAAAAAAGAGGGTAAAATCTGTCTGTAGCTTGTGAAGATTGAAACCGCGGGTGCGTTGCTGCGAGCGGAGTCCCGGGGCAGCGTCAGCGCGATCCGCCGCGGAGCTGTGCCTGCCGCTTCTGCCAGGCTGGATGGAGACGGTGGGGAAAGCAGCCGGCGTGGGGATGGACTGGACAGCGGCTCGGAGCGTGCCTGTGTGCCTCTGTGTGTGTGCGGTGTGCGTGCGTGTGGTGCACTGGATGTGTGTGCCTGTATTTACGGGAGCCGGGGAAACCTCTGCTCCGCGCAGCGCAGGAGCAGCCTCCGAAGCCAGGCAGGGAGAAATCCTGGAGACAAGACACAGCGAGGGAGAGCCGCACATGCACACACGCACACACACACACACACACACACACACACACACACACACACATACACACACACACACACACACACACACACACAGAAACGTGCTACACGTTGCATCGCCGAAATACTGAATACAGGAGCAGAAAGCAAATCCTGGCGTGGATCGCTGTTTGCTGGCAGAAGGAAGGAAAAGCACCCGCAGCCCCGAAAACTTCCTCCTCACCAGAAATCCAGATGCTCCTAGACCCAAAATTACAAATTGCCTGCTAGCGAGACCTTAAAAAGGTAGTTCTCGGCAGTATTGCTCTCTGTAGTAGCAGTGTTAGACTGGGTCCCTTAAATACTTTTTCCCCATTATTATTTGTTGCACACATAAATACCTGAGCTGACAAGCTAGACTGAGGATTAGTCCATCGTCTAAAGGAAAGAGAAAAGGTAAGATGTTTCTGTGCATCACACAAAGAATGAGAAAACAACAAAGATAGTCCTTGACCTGGATAATTCCTGCCAACCTAGGAGAGGAGAGCAGGGGAACAAAACCATAAATTTCCTTTCTGCAAATTAGCATCTGCAAAAAACTGAATGGGGGAAGTGAAGAAAATTCCTGCAAGGTAAATTGATCTTGGGTTAGGAAGAGAGAAAAATATTCTGTAAAGTATTTGGTAGCAAAATCCAAACTTACAGTTTTAAAAGATATTGCAGTACTTTATATGAGTACTGTAGAGAAGCGTGATAGCTTGTTCAAAGTATAGAGAGAGATATGTCAGATATAGGATGAAGTGAAGAAGGCCCAGCAGAAGAAATAAAAGACCACGATCTTGCAGACTGACTTATCAGTGAGCAACCACAGAGCAGTATCATGACATATCATAATTCCAGATACTTTCACATTTAGACAGAATTTTTTAGGTGCCAATACTGCTCTGGTGTCACATTAGCTGCAGTGTTAGTTCTGGGTCTGGGCCAGTGTACGCAGCCCGGTCGGACGTGGCGTTGTGTGTTCCTCCAGCCTCCCTTCCTGTTTTACTTCTCCCACATTGTCATTCCTTCTTCTTGCCTCTCCTTCCCCCCACCCCAATCCCTCAAATGAACTGACACTGCTTGTGCACACAAGCAGTGGGCAGTGCCAAGTGCTATCACCCAGCCTCTTCCGCAAGAGGACAGGATGCAAGTGAACCCTTCTGTAAGAACCTACAAATACAGAGCTCAGTGTCTTAATCATCCCACTACAAATAGCAAGCTGTTAGTACATGTTAGTGCCCCATATTAGTGAAAAGTTAGACACAGTTTGTATACTTACTGTGCAGAAAAGTTTTGACAGATCTGTATGTAAGATCTCAGGATGTGCAAGATACATGGAAGATACGCTCAGTTCACCCCAAGACAGGATCAGAAGGGTGTTACAAATGTTAAACATACCTCATTTCTTTTGGATTGCTCCAACTATCTTCTATGCTGTGGTCAAAGCCAAGCATTAGTTTACCACATATTGAGCATGACACACTCCCCCACAATCCAATATTCAGCATTTCTCCAACCCACAGGAAAGTTAATTGACACTGATTCAAATATGCAAATAAGAAAATCAGCAAACTGTTCTGAAGTGCACAAATCACCTTAAAAGAGCAAAGAGATCCTGTGATTAATTTAGAGGCACCTCTATATAATTTTTTTTTTTTTTTAATGTGAATGTGCCAGAAAAAAGGGAGCATATTCATCCCTGGATGTTTTGCGAATACCGGTTGAATTCATACCATTGTTAATATAATTAGGACTTTTACATAAGACAATGACAGCATGATATAACCATTATATAACATGGGAAACTTGTAATGGGGAAGTCAGGCTCAGTCCCACCTTTGAATCCTCCCTCAGATGCAAGTGGCCTAGACAACCAGTTGTGTTGTAGTCCTGAATGTGGAAGGAAAGCCTGACTCTCCTGGGAGGTCATATTTAAACACAGGTATTTCTTTGGCTTCAACAAATCTCCTACTCACCACATGAGAGAATCATTGTGTGTTCTCAGTATGCATGTAATTAATTTTCTACCAAATGGAAGAGCTCAGGTCGGAATGCACTCAGCCAGTGGCTTTAGCAATCACTTAGAAACATAACATCTTCTGCCAGGCAGATCACAGGCATGAGCTAAAAGCTCTCCTATTTCAGGACTCACACTGGGAGAATGTTTGAGGTGGTCATATCATACCCATCCTTTTCCAGCTGAACCATATAAATAAAACCATAAAACTGGTGTGTTTCACAACTCATGACAAGATCTCTAGCTTTGTTTTAAAGCTTTCCTTCCTTCTCCTTGCTAAGGTGATTAGCGTCTTCCAACTTGAAGCATTCTCTGGCAGGGATGGACTTGATCTTGAGTTGATGTGCTTCAGTGAGGCGGCTTAGACTGCTAAGTTGTTGGGTAAAATGCTGGCTTTTCCTATATTAATTTCGGGTAAGAAGACTTTTCAACAACTCAATTTATTTGCATAAGCATGAAAATGAAATATTTTATTTTAGTTATATGGAACATTTTGATCACCAGGGAAAGTTTTTATGTCTTTTGTATTTCTCTTGAAAGATATAATAGCACTTAAAAATAAATTTTTTTTGGTTTTCATACTTGGCAGTCAGACTGAAAATCAATCTTTTACCATCTTGGAGAGCCCCCTTCATCAAACACATTCAATGTGGTAACATAGATGATTGCTTAGAATGAAGACTTTGCAATGCATCTGCTGGTCACGTTTACCACAAGTGGGCTTTTTTGTCCTCAAGTTATTCCAAATAGGTGTTAATTCATTTCAAGTTCTACTGATTGATTTTTTTGTGAAGTTTTTCCTAAAGATCTGCAAAAAATATAAAGACATGATTTTTAACCATTGTTTCCAAACACTTCTATAAAAAATGAATCAAAACTAATCATTCACACCCAATCATAATAAAAACATAAACTGAAAGTGGAGTAGCAGCCAGCATTATTTCCTTCATCCACTGGAATCCTATGCCTCACATGGCTGAGACAGTTTTGTGGTGTGCAGGACTTATGAAATCTCTAAACAATAAGGGAAAAAAAAGTATTGAATTCCTGTATCATTTGCAAAGCAGCCATCGTCTTGAGCTCTGAATGATTCAAGGACGTGCTGGAAAAACACAATTATAGACCTTAAATGTGATAGTGTGTAGTACATAGGCATGAGATTGAGATTTTACAAGGAATTTTTGCTCCTTTTTTCATGATTTTGAGTTATTTCCCTTTAGAAACAGGATAAATGATGTTACTTTGAAAGACACATTGATTTATTTTTAGGTCTTATCAAAAAACTCTCCTTGTTTTCATGGGTATTAAGGGGACTGCATAGACAAAATCATCTTTCACCTGACTTGACAATAAAGCTTTGGCAAATGTCAAAATGCTCCATAACTCAGCTTCACAAAAAAGAGAAGTTGACTTCTTGATTCTCCACTAAACCTATGCGCTCTGTAGATTTGCAGCTTTCCCATAATGGTTTTCTAGCATGAATGTTTCACTGGTTGAGGAAATAATCAGTAAGATTCTCAGATGTCTGATAGAATTGATGAAGCTCTGACATTGCAGCTATTTGCAGGCAGACGATGGCCTCTCTACACACCACCAGCCCCTGCACCACTGCAGCTGCTCTGGGGGTAGGAGGGCTTTTAGGATCTTGCCTTAATTTTAGGGGAAGATCCACCCACACAGAGGTTGCCAAAGTGCTTAGAGTACAGAACACATTCTTGAGATTGAGGACCAAGTCACTCACACTCCAGGCTCTGCACACCAACAGGGAAATCCGAACATTGTTCCTTTTACTGTAAAACCATGAGGACAGATATCAAGGCACTTGTTCTTTTTCTAGGTCTACAGTGTCAGCTCCAGGTGGATGTTGTTCTTTAAAAGTCCAGAAATGGCTAACTGCATAGTAACACTTTGAAACTTAGCTATGAGTTTGTCCGAATAAAACTTTCCAAAGAGCAGTTCAATGAAGGCATACACTGCAGCATCAAAAGGTGCCTTTTAACCAATTTTTCACGTTCTGCTTCATAGAAAAATTTTCTCCACATAGCACAGACATAGCTCTTCCTTAGCAGTCTGGGCTAGAAGGGGAAACTTTGGGTTTTTTCTTTGTACTGAATGGTATTTGCTGCAAAATTAATGCAAAGCCCAGTGGTTTCCAAAAAGTGAGCTCCAGAGGCACAGATGTGAAAAACTCATCTTTCTCTAGAAGCTGCACTCAAAAATAGAATTGTCAACACAGCTGCTAGGTAAGTCCTCTTAAAAAACGTTTTCAGATTCCTGGCCAAGAAAACAGACCTGCTACATACACAGAATAATGAAATATGACTAGCTTTCTTTCTTCTGAAAATGTTCACCTTTTCATAGACAGAAAGCAAAAAATGATCTAAGATTCCATATGCTCAGTTATGCATAATATAGGAGGCTTAGGCTCCCATAAAAAAAGGTTTATAAGTGGTAATCAGTGATGTCATATTAATTATAAGCAATAAGCAGTAGTGGCTGCTCTTGAAATCTGCAGGCTATGCTATTTTGGGAAAATGGCCACTTTTTATATTAGCTGTTCATTTTATGAAACCTTTTGTGAACAAATACTAGAAGTTCATGCACAGCAACTGAATGGGTAAGTCAAAGCATCTGGACAGAACCATTGCTCTTTTCAGGTGTGGATTACAGCAAACAATCCAGGGCTGTTGCTCATCATAATAATTTTAAATTTTTTTTTTCTCTCTACTTATTTAAGGTAGTGCCATGTAATCTTTCTAAACCTGGATGTATAAAATACTGAACTACAGAGTACACTGAAGTAAAATCACAGAGTCAAAATATTCAATTTGCAATACCTTATCACTAGAAAAAAGTTCGCTTTATTTAGATCATAGTCTCAAGCAATGCAAAAACCCGTAGGTATTCATTTGTGACAATTTTCATTCATATTTTATCAATTTACAGTATCATTATTTTTCTATTCAGCTGAAATTTAAAGCAATAATTTGCAATAGACAGAATATGGACATTATTTCTGATATAAATGTACAGCATAACATATGCATTAAAGCTGTGAATGTAAGGTTTATAGTTTTTGAATCACCATTTCTGAGCAATGTGTTTAAAAGTATATGATATGTTCTCTGACAAAGATCAAAGAGCTTAATATATTTTGTAAGTTACAGCTATAATGATTGCATTTGCAAAAGCTGTAATTTACTGGTCTATTTCCATAATGAATGGGAGCCTAACAAGTCACACAAGCTGATACATTCAGCAAAAATAAGGGATATCTTAGACTTGACTTGGAATATGCATTATGATAATAGCTGCAGTTTTACTAGAGAGTAAATTTTCTTTTATTTCTTGGCATGCTTACCTTGTCAGTCTTCCTGGGTTTTTTAGTTTTCTAAACCAAAATATATTTTAGGAATATCAGCAAATGAAGGGTAGAGGGAGGTTGCAATGGTGCATTCATTCCTGTGCACACAAGTGTTCTGAAAGGCTGTGAGAGAAGAAAAGACACATTCTTAGGTAAAGACAGGCAAGAAACCTGAGGACTAAAGGAAGATACATCTCAGGCACAGTAATATAATTTCCCTTTCTGTGGTACTCTAAAAGGACTTATGTCATTACCTTGTTGTCTCACAGTGGGCATGACATGCCATAATCAAAATTGGGTATTGTAAAAGAATTGCTACTATGGTCTCTTTCCTGTAGATTTTTAATACAGATTTACATGGCTCCACAGGAAGATGAGACAAAGCAGTGGAAAATAAATTATCTAGGAATTGTTAAGTACACAGCCAACTTCTGGCTCAGGAATAACTTCAGCAACCAAGTCGTCAAGATGAGAGATTATGTGTAGAAATTTCCTGTACTTTCCATTGGCATTTGTTCTGGGACACTGTTGGAGAAGAAACAGCCTGTTAGTTCTACTCTCTGGTCAGAGCCAATACAACCATTCAAATGTTACATTCTTAATTTGGTTGATCTTAGGTACCTAGAACAGAAGATAACCTAAATATAAAGTAAATGCTTCTACCTTTGCACCTGGAAAACTGTACCACTTTATAAAGTACCTTCAATGAATTCAGACCTCCAGCAGGAAGCAGTGCAGAGCTCCACTTAATGTGCATGCCTTGTAAATCCCTCATAAACCTCCAGTTTACCAAATACATCCTGCAAGAGGTTGTCAAAACCTCTCCTTTTTTCCACTTCCCACAGTCAGGGCAGTTCACAGGAATTACCGTATTCTACAAGATCCCTGGCTCAACAGTCACTTCCTTCTAAAAGTATGTTTTGCTTCATGGGAAAGCACAGTTCTTCCCTATCATCCCTCCTTTTCAACTCCCTCTGACTTGTTCCTGAGTAGTATTCCATGGAAGGGAAGCTTCCATAAGTCCCAGAAGTACTTTGTAGTTTGATTCAACACAGCTCATGTCTGTTTGACCTTTAAATGGCAAAACTCAGAAGGTTTTATTAATATCAGTGTATAAATCTTAGTTTTTTGGGTTTTTTCTATCCTCAGGACACTAAATCCCACATATGTAATTAAATAAAAGAATCGCTTCTCCTAAGGAAAGCTCGCAGAAACTCTCTTTTATATTTACCTGCACATTGTTCAGATAAATAACTTTATGTTCCTGTTCAGCAAGCTACAAATCCAATCTTAGGGAGGGGAAAAAATAATTCATGCAAAGTTTACCCCACTTTCTTCAGAAAACTTTTTGCAGATATCACAAAGAAAAGGACTGTATTCTTTTAACAATGCTCATGTTCAGGGAGTTCTGTTGATTTACAGTTCTTATACAGAAAAATCAGTTATGGGTATTGATCTGTCCTGATTCAATTCTTTGTTGGTTAATTTAGTGGCAGCTAGGTTTTCCTGTATTGCTTCAACACTGCTTTGTAGTTCCCAGCATTACCTTTAACTCTTCTGTGAAACTTAGGTATTGTATTTAGCCTCCCTCCAATCTTCAGATAGTAGCTGGCTTTAATTATAAAATGTGTATTTGTTAAACAACTCAGATGCTTTATTTTTATTTCCAGGCTCACAGGTTTAAGAAGAATGCCTTTTTCTCTGGAGGTTATTTTCATTATCCTCACATGAACCCTTCATCAAAAATGCTACAGCTTATCTTCCTTTGATAATTTTCACCTTTGTTAGCAAAATTATCATTAGTATAACCATATCACCACCTTTTTTTTTTTTTTTTCCCCAGAGCTTGGAGTCTTAATGTTAAGATTTCAAAAAAGTGGGAAGGGCAGGAGTTTATTTGCAGAAAGCAAGAAGGGAGAAAAAAAAAAAAAAAAAAAAAAAAAAAAAAAAAAAAAAAAAAAGAGGGACACTTTGATTTCCCACTGCAGTTTCCTCTGCAGCAAGTACAAAATTGTGACCCTTAAAAATACAACAGTTCCAAAGCAGATAAAACACAGTAGAGAGATTGTGGGAACCCAGCAGATAAAGAGATGAATATTTGTATAGGAGCCATCAATCTTCCTACTTCTCATGGATGGTTTGTTCCCCAGTGACACCTAAAGAGCAAAAGATCCTGTGGGCAAGTAAGGTAGCATGACAGGTGGCCGGTTGCCTCCAGGCAACCTTTGAAAGACCATTTGCCTAACCTGACAAGGCACGGATAATTGACTAACTCACTTCAGTTATCTGACAAAGTCTCAGGGTTGTGTCTTTGTGAAGACAATAGGGTTGCACCCTTCCTTCCCTAGTAAAGAGAAGGTGCTGAAGAGAGACCCTGGAAATTTGTGGCTGTGGAGTTGCTTTCAGCCTCAAATCTTTGAAGACAAGCTTCTCTGCAGTCAGAAAGTCAGGTATTAATACCTTAAGAAGAAACAGGAAAAAATCTAAAAGAGACTTTTCTGTGTTATCTCTAATTCCAGTGGGAGTTTTGCATATGAAGATATGATGAATATGCAGAAAGTCATTAAGGCTATTTGTATTGTTTTCTGTGATTGTTAAAAAAAAATTGAATTCTTACATTTTAGTTATTGCTATTTTCAGTAGGGATGGGGCTAGATGACTTTCTGAAGTCCCTTGTACCATATATTATTCTGTAACTCCAAGTCCTCAATGCAATATTCTAATTCCTCTATGAGAAATAAAGTTGTACAAAGAAAAAAAATATTGAAAATTTCTGAAAAGAGCTTGGCACCCAGCTGCATATTTCTTTGTTCTTCCGTAGGATACGTGTCGCCTGTAAGAGTTGAGAGTATGACAGCAATGGCTCCTTTCTTGTGGTTTTGGAAATTGGAACAATGAAACTGGCTTGTGACGGCTGAAACTGGTGCATACTGTTATTGAGGTTGAGCAGAAGAACAGTGCTGTGATGTCTACACTTAGAATCTAGTCTTCTCTAATTTTTTTTTCTTTCTGGAATTTTTTTATTGGCTCCTATTGTCTTTCAGTGCACATGTAGTGACTGGACACTTCTCAATTCAAGAAAAAGTTTTAGCTCATACCCTTCTTATGCTTCCTTAATAAGTATGTTCTTCTGTCTATCTATAAAGGCTTCCTGCTGCTTGCTTTCAAGTTAAAATGAGTATAAATCCTACCACGATAAGTTTTTGCAAAATACACAGCTGTTAAAATTCACAATTCTTAAGAGTGCCTTTGGAGACCTCCTTAGAAACCACAGGTCTCTTAATGTCAGTTTAAGTGAGCCTTGGTATCTTGGCATGTACAGTATGCAGATCCTTTTGTAAATTTGTTATTTCCAGAGAAGTGTTACAGAATAGTCTTATGATGCTTTTTCTACATCATGTATCCTTTTTTTTTTTTTTTTATGTGAAGTTAAAAAAAAAGCAAGCAAAGCTTGAAAAACCAAGCAAAGTTTTTCCAGAAACCATGAGTTAAAAAAAAATAAATAGTCTAATCTCAGTAGAACTATGGCAATTGATTTCCTCACAGATACTGTCTCTGCTTGTAATTTACGATACGTATGCAAATTGCATATGTTTAAATGAATATGCTAAATGTTGCAGTTAGCCTGGCCATGTGCAGTAGATTGCATTTGAGCATACATCAACCATCCACGTGCAGTCCTTTTATCTGGATTTTAATTTAGATTTACTGAAGTCTCATGACTCCAGCTGCTGAAAAATTCCAGATCAATAGCCAGAGAAATCTCAGATAAGTAATAACAGGCAAAAACATATTGCCAAATAATGGATAGTAACAATTAGAACAATTGACACGTATTGAATGGATTAATGCATCTTCCATATCTAACCAGACAATAGAACAAAATATATGAAGAATGAAAGGGAAGGAAACTGCAAGAAGATTCCTTGTTATTCCTAGAATTTGCACATTCCTCTTCCTAATGAGTCTGTGCACTCTTTCAGATTATTTGGAACCAGTGATCCAAACCAGTCCATCCCTTATTTCTAGTAGGGAAGAAGTGTCGTGCCCCTAATCCCAAAGGCTACAGCCAAGAACTTCGAGGAGCCCCTGAAGTTTATGTTTGTCCATATCCTGTCTGAGTCCTAGTAATTCCCCTCTGTTCATCAACTCAAGGACTAAATCTGCATGCAACCTAAAAGCTTCATACTATCTTGTCAGAGAAGCTTAGGGCAAAGCTTCACTGCATTATATCTGTAATCTACAAGTCTGAACATCACTTGAATACCAAACCATGCACATCTTGCAAAAATGCAGGGATTAAGCAAGAGACTTAATAACATAAGTCAAAACACCGGGGACGTGTAAGGCACATGCAAGTATTTAGCTGAAGAGAACATTTCCATACCCCTTATGCTATCTGTTCACCACATGATTTTGTTTTCTTGTCAGTTGGTAATAAAGTTACACTGGCATTTTTGAAATACAGGGTGATTACTAGAGTGAAAATGAGCATGATGGATACCATGCAGTGTACACTTTCTGCTGTGGTGGGTAAGAAAGATTTCACTCACTAACTCCATTGTTATCCTGAATTAATCCCCGAAATACATTTGCAGAGCTTCTAGAAATATGTTTATGTGCTCTCATAAAAGTCGCAGATCATCTGAATTTGAAAACCACAAGTTACTTCATATTTTTTAAAGTATATGTGGAAGTAAGCACAGATAACATGAGAGAGTTCTGCTTTGCACCTGCAGAGATAGTGTCAGGTTTTTGAACCTTAAAATATATAGGATACTAGATTACATTATATATAGATATATGCATATATAGATTATATATGCTATTTTAGATTATAAATGATAAATTGTTTTCAGAAAAGAATGACAGTTTACCATTAATTTATGAAGCTATAGACATAATTAGCTTATTTTTATTCTATTTAATAAAAAAAAAAAAATCAAGAAAACATGTTCCAAATCCTCAAGAGAAAAGGTGCCATTCCTTGGTTTCAAAGGTGATTTGAATGATAAAGTTAATTCTTTAAAATTATGCTTTAGGTTTAGAGTTGTCAAACATGTATTCTATATATGATTCATTAAATTAAATTTGTATTACTAACTTTGTATTATGATCTGGGTCTGGGCATTTGTTACGTAGAGAGATTTATTACTAAATTTTTGGCTAATAAAGAAGTCAAACTTACATGTATCCATTTTTCTTTCCCTGAAAATTCTTGACAGTTGCATGCAACTTCTATGAAAAGAAACAAAAGGGTTGAAAGTCAAAATTGCATTTACTTCATTTAGTACATGGGAGTTTGATTTGATTTTGCTATTGTTGTTTGGGATTGGGGTTTCTTTTCTCCAAGACTTAAGAAAAATGAGGGAGGAAAAAGAAATTTTAGACTTAAGAAAACATAAGGAAGTTAGAGGATTTTATAAATTGTGGGGATTGTGGTTTTATATAAGGTTTATGTATAGTAACAGGATTACAAATATTATTAATTAATAGAAAAGCAAAACAAGTATACAATATCTTTGCTAAATGAAAGTAATTGATCACTTTCTAGAAAGGCTTTAAGTAATGTAGCTACCTGAAATGTTAAGTTACAATAAAGTTATAGTGAGAAATGGTGCAAATTTCAAATTAGTGTGCATAACTCATTTGTCTACCCACGGTAAGAAGCAGAAGAAATACATACAGGAAAAAAAGATACATCAAGTAAATAAAAGTAAGTTTTAAGAAACATAGCTTAGAGCATCTACTTCATTAGTTCTTTTTTCTTTGCAATGTTTATTAATAATTGGCCGCTCAGTTCTGCTAGATAGTGCTACAGGTAAAGAAGATAACAGCCTAAAGTCTTGATGAGAAATAATCACCAGATGTTATCAATAGAATTTTAGTCCCTACCTATATTTCTTCATAGTATCTGCAATTTTATTGATTACATTTCTCTCTTTATTGCAGAGTCTGTGATAAAAGATCCAGCTGGCAAAGGTGACCGGTGTTAATCAGACCCTATCTCTCCTGACAGTGATCACTGCAAAAGTATTCTCAAAGTAAAATAACCATCAGCTGTGTATCAGGGAAATACTTATGAAGGTATTATTTTAGCAGTAGGTGAGACGTTCTGCAGCTAGCAAATCTTGGCTAAAGAATTAGCACTTGGGAATTTTACAGGTTAGTTACTTTCCAAAGGAACTAGGATAGTTAGGCTCAATAGGGGAGGATCTAAATAGGAAGACAGTGACCACAGTTTAAATGATTGCTTACAAAACTTTAGTGACCTATTCTACAACCCCAGACTGTGACCCCATATATTTCCATTTCGCTTTAAGTCACAAAATACATCTTAATATCCAAATAGTCAAATCCAGAATATTAGTGATTTTAGCTGATGAGTGAAGCCAGACATTTTCACCTAAATCATCCCACAAGATATAAACTGATAAGTCTTTCATTGTATAAAGCTCCCAGTGTCTGTTATCTGATCTTGTACTTTTGAAGAAAAAGACTGCATGTAGTGTATGTGGAAGTAATATTCCTCCTGGAGGGTCACTCTTCATTGTATTATAGTTATCTGCTTTTCTGGTTTTCTTATATATGGTATTCTGTGAATGCCACAAAACATAAGGTACAGAGCACATCTGTTTCATCAACATCAGCTTAAAAAAATAGCTTTTCAGGAAGAAAAAAATCTTTTAAAATTGTCCTAAATTCGTTCAAGATACTACTTGTCATTAAGGAGTATGCTGATGAAATGAAATGTTGACAGACTAATAACAATATTCATTTCACTATTACAATTGAAAATATATAAAATGAATATTCACAGCAAGAGATCAAAACCTTGGATTACAAGAGGAAAATGGAGAAAAATATTTATTCCTCAGAAGTAATACTATACAGGATGAATCAATCCTTTTCTTTACTAGACCTTCATAAAAAAAAAAAAAACAAAGAAGGAGATAATATTCTTTGGAAAAAAGTGCTTAAGGTAGATGATCTTTCGATTCAACTTCTAGCATCCATGCAATAGAAATGTTCCTCCAACCTATTTACTACTAGAATATGCTTTTATCATCTTAATCTCTGTGACCTCTGAGAAAAAAAAATCTGTGGGTGGTAGAATAATGCCATTTGAGTCACAGCATATTTCTGCAGATGCTGGAAAGGACAGTTTTACTGACAAATATTTACCTATTTAAAGCAGCCAACAAAACTACCTTGTATTAAATCATCTCAATTTTATAACTCACCTGAGGTGGTTTAGAACACCAAATCCCAACTTAAAAATCATTCAGTGTTCCAACACAGGAACAAGTGTCAATGATTATATCCCATCTCTGTGATACAGGAGACACAGACTGTAAATTTTACATTGGCAACGCTCTTCCTGCTTTCAGTTTTTTTAAGCCTTTATTTGCATATAAATGAGCTGTGGCAGAAACTGCCAGTGGTAGTAGTCCTCTTTACAGACAGAAAACAGAATTTCTCATATACATGTGCTCTATCAGGGTGGATGTAAACCCCTTCTCTCTCCCTGATGCAGTGAAGTCTTCTGACATGCTCACAGTGAGCAGGTGAGAGCATCAGTGACATTAAAAGATTACCCCAGCAGCAGAGCATTCTTGGCATTGCTTTTTGTACCTGTTCAATCCAGCATGATACAAAGTGGTTATCATGCAAAAAAAGGGTTCATTGTCCTTTCTCATACTTTTGCCTGGCAGACATAGTATGGTTCTGGGAAATGTCACAGTTTTTAAAGTTTTTTACAAGACATGGTTTTTATTTTCTTCATACAGCGTACACTTTAGAGATTTTGGACAAATTCTGCTAGGTATGACTATTTAAATCTTTCTTAAATGTCTCTTTTTCATCTTTCCTGAGGATATAATCATATATCTCACTCTGCTTAAAGGTGAAGATTAATTGAAGGTGTTTTCATTACTTCCACCCCATTCACTTTCATGCTCTTTCTACTCTGTGGATGACCAGCATACGTTGCTCTCCCAGCTGACATCCTCCTACAGTTCCATAATGTCACAAAATAAATTTATATCATGTTTTGGAAAAAAGAAGTGATGGAAACCCAACAATGCAAAAACAAGGCAAAGGACTACTAAGACAGCAGATGGTGGACCTGCATCCCACTCTTCTGCCCAGGAAAACTTGAATGAATATACAGACTCATGCATATGCCCCACCAAAGGGAATGCATCTTCATTAAAGTAAGCTGGATTTCCACACACAGCCAGCAAGTCCAAGCTCCTCTTTTGTCAACAAATGCCAAGCAGTAGCAAAACATGACACCCAGTAGCCATTATAATGGGAGTGGGAACAATTCCTTTTCCCACCCAGCTCTGTATCACGTTTTCTTCTCCTCCCCCTTGGTGGTGGCAAAGGGAGCATCCACTTGACACAGATAGACTCCCTCCCTAAACTTTTCCCCACAAGCTGATTTAGATAATTTAACATCTGTCCCTGCTGTAACCTCGGCAGCTGCAGCCTGCAGTGCCAGGTTGTATACTAACCTTTTCAGAGTCAAAGATAATAGTTAAATAGGTTAAAAGATAGACTACTTATGCTTTACAAAACAGATTTTATCAGATTAATCAATTTATGAAATATGGTTTTTCAAGTCAATCCAGTAGCTGAATTTTTAGAGAGATCGGCGATCCCAAAGCAGAAAACTTGTTATACATCTTTCCACACCTACTCCTTCTTATCCTAAATAGCAGCACTTCCCTTTTGTCTGTTGAGAGGAGACAGACCTGTACCACCTGGTCAGCATCAGGTTCTCTGATTTTTGAGACAACAATTTTTCCAGACAAAATTCAATACTTTTTGAGGCTGGGATTTCTTTATCATATTCTTAAAATTTGGGGTTCAAATATGTGGTTAGTACAACAAAACCAACAGAGAGACTATTCATATACCTTACACAGTCTGACATGCTAAATTTTTAACTCAGCACTTTCTATATTTCAGTCAGTAAAAAGAAGATAAGAGAAAACAACTCACTGGGCAGTACATAATATAAAAATACATTGGTAGCATAAGACAACACACAGAAGCAAACCCTTGAGAGAAACACCAGTAACTCATTCTTGCCATAACAGAACAATATTTCAAATTAATTTACTTCATATCCATGTAACTTTTTATCCTTGACTGTACTGTGAGGTTGTAAAGACTGTCACTTATTGACGTAAAATACATTGTGGATGCAGTTAAATGGACTGGGGGGATTTAAAAGATATAACCAGGATACTTTGAAATACTTCCTTTTACTGACAGTTCAGAGTTGATCTAGTAAATGGGGAGATAGAATGTTAATCAAGCAACAATGAAAAATATGAGCTGACTTTAATAAAAATCAGCCGGTAAAGTTATGAAGTAGTTTAATTAACAGAAATTTAATATTAGCCGATTCAGATAATTTACCATGTTGACCACTCAAGCTTATTTCAGTAACAGAGAGAAGGAATAAAGAAAGGATGCAGTACAGCAAAAACGTTCAGTATTATTTCATGATTTTCCAAATCCCTTTAGCAAATCACATATCTTCAAATGAATTTCCATTTTCTGTTCACACAACAGGATTCAAACAGCACAAAAACTTTGAGGTTGTTGGTGACCTACTTGCATAATGCAAATTCTGTAAAAATGCACAGGATCTGCAATGAGTAAAACCAAGGACTTGATTTGTCATTGGGACAAATAGGAAACCTGGAAACACCGAGCTATGTTTTTCATGCTTATAATTGCAAACATACATTATTAAACCATCTCATTATACCAAGTAAAGCCTCTCAAACTTTGTAAATCAAATGTACCAATGATTTTTCTAAAGCTCAAGGTTCACTCTGGCTGCCACACTTGCAGCCTCCCCAACACATACCAAGTCATAGGAAATAACTTTTCAACAAGTTGACAACACAATTTCTGCCTAAATTCCAAGTAAATGCATGTGTATATGCCACACAGTACATGCATGAAATTATCACATTGAAATAAGGAAGTAAAATACTAATGGGTACTTCATGTTCTTAAGACTATAAGACTATTCAAAAATTAATTCTGTATTTCTTTTGTCTTTTTCCCTTGAAAAAAAATTTAATAGATGTATTTGAAAAGCTTACATTATTTCTTATAGTCTAAGCAGTCTTCAAGTTTTATATAATTCATTTGAATTTTCTCATTTGTTCTTTTATTCTTCTTTTGAGTAAATTAAATTAAAATTAAGGCAGTATAAAATGTGAAATTAACACTATTGTTCTTGCTTTTGACCATCTCATTCAAGGACCAAAGCACTTTTCCTGGCTTTCTGACACATAGTTCCTGTTTCATCCCTAGGAGTTTCAGTATCTCAAAGCCGCCTAGAAATTCTTCTTGCAACTGCTGCTCAGGGTCTCTAATGACTCTACTGTCCACGCTCAAAAGCAGAGAATTATCTGCTGTCATAATGGATTTGCACTCTTGAAAGCATTTGTAGTCCAACCAACACAGTCAATGACAAATTCCCAGAAATGTCTGGCAACATCAGGATTGTCAGGGAGAGTTTTAGACAACTCACTGGAGGTCTTGGTTTCTGTGCTGCTATGTACTATCCTGCATCAAGTTAAGGCTCAAAACAGGACAAAACTCAGAAAGCATTATAATTTAGCATTAAAAAACCCTAAAACTACATGACTAAGACATCTGTAGTTCCTCCAAGGAGTCATGGGGCTGTGATTTGGTTGGATACTTTAATTAGTTTTTTTCCTTTTTTATTGGTTGGTTGGTTGATTCTTTTTTTGAACAATATTACTTAAAAATCATTACAAATGTAGGAGTCTTCCTTTTGGTGCTTTATTTTAGCATACAATGCAAAAAAGGACCAAAAATTTAAATTTCTAATAAACGAAGCCATGACTAAAACCACAGTTAAAAATAATAGGAAACTATAAATCTTGCTGAAGATGAAACTTATTCTGCCCTGCCCTGTTGTCAAATAGTATATTTGACAGTATACTACTCATCTTCTTATTTTGGCTTCAAATGCTTTGGTTTTTTTGTCCTTGTAGTCCAGGCTACAATTTAGTAGGCTCCATTCTCCAATTTAGTAGTCCTGCTAAGAAAAACTGCAAGCCACCACTCACTTCTCTCCTGCTGGAAACATAAAATGCAAAGATCATAGATTGAAATAAGAAGAGTTTACTGGAAACAACAATAAGATAGGAAAACAAACATTAATAACAAATGTGTGCAAAAGAGAGAGTGTGGATCTGGACCCTAGCACAGCCACAGCACCCAAATCACTCCCTCCAGTCAGGACCAGTTTATCCCACCACTCTGTTCACTCCACTTGCTTCACCGGGAAGTAATGCTCTTCTTCTTGGAAGGGAGGGAGAGTGCCTTTCCGCAGCCCCTGGCAATGACATGAGGTGGTACCAAATAACAGTAGGGTCTTGGCCATTCCCACACAGCTCCGGCCTCTGCCCCCTGACAGCTACTGCAAAGAACTCACTCTGTCCTTGGCTGAAATCAGGACACTACTTCAGACACGAGACAAGTGGCAGACCAATAAGCAAGCTGAGACAATTCTCCAGAGATCAATCTTTACACAACAGATGAATGTAAAATATATCTGCTGCATGAAAAGGCATTGCTTATTAATAAAGCCAATCTTAGGACAGCTTAAAATCCATGCTGCACTTTTATCCCAACAAACCAATCTCTGTTTATTCTAAACCAAAGCAATTTTAGCTTTTTTTCATTCAACATTAAACTAAATGAAAAATCATTACTAAATTACACCAATAAGACAAGATAATGGCTTCTTTATAAACATGGAGCTATTCCACAATTCCACATGGAAAAATTATTAACTAGAAAACCAGTTTATTTGCCACATAATTGCCAAAACCTGATCATTCTTCCATCACATCCTACCCCTCTGAGTATTAGTCCATCAGAAACAATGCAGCATACCTATTTATTCAGCCACCTGTTCCTGCTGAAAATTTGTGTCCTTACTTTCCTTCTGAAAAAATGCCAGCCAAAGGAAGCAGTCAGTGAAAATTTGGGGCAAGGGAAGAAGAAACAGGTAGAAGGGTGCAGCACCTCTGAAGGACCAAGACTGAAATGCCATGGTACTCTACATGGTATTGGAGGGAGCCCATGGAATTTTCAGGAAAGCAACAGGAACTACAAACTACAGGTTGAGAAAAGCTGTACAGGAAAACACTTTTGTTGTTTTTAAAGGCAAGAAAAAAAGTCAAAGACTGAGATGCTTCATGCTTAATTGTCCAGAATGACATATGAACTAGACTGGGCAAAAAAGTACATTGTCTAAAGAATAAGTTTCATATAAAGAAAGATAAGGCATACATGCATGTTTGCTTTCTTTTCGCATCCTTGGAAAACCCTGCTTCTGCTGGCATTAGGAAAGTTGTCTCATCAGTCTGCTCCAGCATCTTTGCAGAATCTCAGGGGCCAGCCCCAGATCATCACAGTAACCACAAGGATGTACAGTACAGTACCAGAGGGAGTACAGAAGGTCTGACCCAAAAATAACAGAAATGTGAGATCTTGTCCAGGTGGGCAAAACCAGGAAACTCTCCTGACACTAAGGTGTGTATACCTGGTGCCACTGCAAACAGTGCTGGATGCAGCTTAGCCCTGTGCACTAACTGTTCCATCTCTGCAGCTGGATAAAATTCCTAGTTGCTTTGTGTCTGTGAGATACAGACCACCAAAATCAGGAGAAGTTACTTATTCAGACATAAGGATTCTATAATACCTGGGAAAGCAGTGAGAGAGCCCATAAACCCACAAGGCAATGTGACCTGTGTACCAATGGAAAAAGGTTGCACCACATGTAACAGAAGAATTGAGTTACATTAATTTGCATCCCCATTTTAAACTAAAGTAACTACATACAGACAATCTATAGAAATTCCATCCTTTCCATTTTCCCTTTAATTTGTATGTCAATAGGAGTATACAGCAAAGACGATTATTATTCCTTTTTTTGCTATTTTATTGATACATCAAATCCCCTGGAAAAAAACCCCTTTGCTATTTTAATGTTTAATAGTTGTAAATAATTTATGTACTTCTTTTTATTTCTGTTTTTGTTTTTGTTTTCGTGTGTGTTGCCTGAAGGCAAAACTCAGGGTTATTATTCCTAGTACTGGGAGAAGCAATCCTTTGGGTATGATCTTTGTTTTCACGCTCTCTGAAACCCTCCAGCTCACTGTCTGCAGTGATGCTGAATGCAAAGATGGTACCTGTCAATCACCAGGGATTTAAATCTATCAAACCCCATTTTTTCACTCACACAAATTTTAATATAGCCTTTCACTTCCTTTTTGAAAAACATGAATATAGAGATATCCAGAAACATAAAAATGAAATAAAAAAAAAAAAAAAAAAAAGAAATTCAGTTTTCAAAGGCAAACACAGCAGTGGGGTTAACATGTTCCAGAAATTTCTCAGTTATGAGTATGTGAGAATATAAGACCAAAAGAGGCTATTTATAGTGCCGAGAGTGCTTACAACTCCAAGATTTCATTTTCATCTGAATGGGTGCCTCATATCAGTTAATATCCAGGGAATATAATTGTAGAATAATCCATTTTGAGGGAAGTGAGCTCTTTCTTCGAAAACTTCAAGCAACAATGCTTATTACGACACAATTCTGTAAGGGTACAGTGTGAACCTTTAAAAAAAAAGAAGAAAAATGCATTTTACTATGGTTAAAAAAGGGAAAAAATTAGAAAATACACTCAGGTAACTATATCCTCATGTAAATTAGATTAATTAGTATTTTTTTAATCTTTTGGGAAAAACTGATAATAGGAGCTACATTGTTTATGCAAATAGTATCCAAATATGCAAAATGGACATCACCAGATTATGAATTAAACTTCAGTGAGCTGATTAGCCTGATTCTATCTTTAGAAAGCAGAAAACATCATTAAAAACTTTCACTCTATACTAAAGAAATGAGATCCTTTTTTTCTTGTAATATGTGGGGATAATACATACAGAAAAGTAATCTTAGCATAATTTTAAATCTTTGTTTTTCCCCCATTTGGAATCAATTTTGAATCATTGAAAATTCTTTGACAAAATCCATCTTCCAAAGGATAAACACAGTTTACTCTTTAAATAAAATAAACCAAATATTTACAGCAGCTAGAAATTATCTGAATTCTGAGTTCAGTATGTAGTAATATCCTCCTTTCTAAAGACAAACAAGAAAAATATCTATATTGAAATAATTTTATGGTTTAATAGAACATACTCATCAGGAAATATTCATAAAAGTTTGTCCGTTTATCTTCTCATTCATTGCCTTTAGGAAGAAGTGAAGAAAACTGGGAGATAAAATCTTATTGAGCTATGAATTTTTGTGCATCTGTGTTAAATTGTTTAAAGAGAATTGGTCTTGCTGCTGAACTTGAACTTCCTATAAACTCACTGTCCTTCAGAAATGACAAAATCAGTACAAAATCTTCATTCCTTTCAAGATTTGAATCAAAACCTCAAAATTAAGACACATTATTGAAAATTGAAATGACCATACAATTGACCTTTAAAATCAAACTTACTTTCCTGCTTTCCTATGTCTATTATTTTAGTTTTATGAATTCCCTATTCATCATAACTCATAAAATTAAAAAAAAAAAAAAAAAAAAAGAAATATACAGGAGTAAATACATCACATCATGATTTGAAGGAGCTAGGAAAAAATCAGCATGACCAAGTATGTTTAACACAGGGAACAACCAATGAGCCACACAAACTTGCATCAGCAGTGGCCCATAATGAATTGCAAAATTCAGTCTCAGTACCAGTAGCTGGCTTTGGAAAAATTGTTGAAAAAAAAGGTCCTAACTGTGTGAACTGCTAAAACTGTTCAATAAGAAAAGTGCAAAGCACAGCTTGATCCCCTTCATGTGAAATGTGTAATCTCATAGGAACCTAGGAATTTTATTTTCATTTTTCTATGGGCAAAAAGAATTAATTTTTAACAAAGCTATAAATAGAAGGAATTATAAACCAGTACACCAACATGAAAGTTGTTCGTTTCTATATCTGACAGTTTTATATTTCCAAACAGAACCCTAGTGGTATCAGTGGATACCACTTTCTTCTCCAAAAAGTATTAATAAAATTAAAAAAAACCTGTAGTATGCCATAATAATTCTGCAAGCTTCTAAAGTTAGCAAGTTTAATATAGAGTGGAAAAGTTGTGCATCTCAGTAAAAAGAAAATAATTAAAAAATTTAAAACCAAATTTGTACCTATGATAAGCTGTACCTTATTTCAGTTTTCCATTTTTCTAAACTCTGAAAAACAAATTAGTTCTGAGTTTCTTGGGCTTTGCTACTCTCAGTCCAGCATTGATTTTACCCCTAACTAATAGTTAAGCAATTTCAGCTTGAGAGTGACTTATTTTTAGTTTGTCAACCCAACAAGAATTGAATTCATGTTTTTCTTTATTCTTTTTGTGCAGTCTGCATATGCACATTTTATTTTTAGAACAAGAGTGTTTTATTCAGACATCCATGAAATGTTGCTATTTCAGTTATTATTTTTTTTTCATCTTGAACTGCAAAACAATCCCAGACTACCTGCCCAAATCAAACTGGGGGTGGCAGAGGTCTTTTCCTACCCAAATATATTTCTTAGAATGATTATGGTACTTAAGAATTTGGAACAGAGGATCAATATTACTTCCATTGTATTTACATATGTCTTTGGAAAACATAGCTGCTTTGAAAGACACAATAGGCAGAAAGAGAATAAAGAAGAGAATTAGATCTAAATAGGTTTCCTTTTGTGATTATGGGATGCATGCATTAGGAACTTCTGTTCAATGCTGCTTACAATTTCACTGCTGTCTACCAATAAAACAACAAATAGGAGCCAAAAAGGCAACAGGGCAAGTAATAATACTACAGTAATTAAAGCTCTCAGATGTAAGAATATGCAAGTGTTTCTCAACATAAATACAAGTTATATTTTAAGATTTACAGCTGGATGACTTGGATGACATTATTTCAATATGCCTTTCAATAACTCAAGTACTCTACAGTCATACTGTCCAACTCACATAGCATGTACAAGTATAAACAGGGAAAGCATATCAAAAGCAAAGATTAGCCTCCACTCTGGAAAGACAGCTAAACTAAATAAATTGCAGTTTATAATAAGATCATGTTTATTCATAATATGCAAAACCAGCAAGAATTAATAGGTCCATTGTACTCGGACCTAGAGGCATGGAAATAAATACCAGACCCAGAATCCAGTGGCAGCTTTCTGAAGTTCACAGTGTCAAAGTGTCCAAGCACTAGTCCAGCTGTATCTATTACTAACTTCAGTTATGTTCCAGGAAAACAAAAGAATGCATAAATGCTTACTAATAACTCCCTTACGACACTGCTTCTTGTTTCTTCAGGGAACATTTCTGATCTGCATCTCTGTGCCATTCTGCCCAGTCTAGTAACCTCAATGATTTTTGACAGTAGACTTTTAGATAGTCTTGAGGCTACCTGCTCTGTTTGCCTGCTTGATTTGGTAATGAGGCTCAGTAACCCTCTGTAAATGCATACCAGCTGAGGAGAGATTGATAAACTCGTTCATCTCCTATGAGGTGCTACAAAGCTTCTCTTGAGACCCTGACATCAGTCACAACTCTCTACTGATAGTACCTGAGGACTTCATCCAGGCAGTAGAAGGAGGGCGTTCCTTCATGTTGGAGATGGCCAGACGGACTTGGCAAACCCACAAGATCTTTTACATCACTCATGGGAAAGATAGAACCAGCCCCTGTTTCTTAAAAAAAGCATTGACACATACAAATACAGGCTAATCTAACCACTGCAGCTTTTAGTGTTTTGGAGGCTCCTCCAAATGCATTTGTGAGGAGCAATTAATAAGAGAATGACTAAGAGGTTCCCTCAGCCCATCTGTAGTACAGGTAGCTTTTACTGAAAGTTAGGGGCTTTGTGTTTACATACAGCATCTCAGGATATAGGGACTTGCATTTTTTGTTTTGTTTTGGTTTTTTAATCAGTTTTTTGGAAAGGTCCTAACTAGACTTCTTTTTGGCAGACTGAACTCCGGTGAGCTGATAAAGGATCAGGAGAACATGGCATATTTTCCACTTTTCAGGACTTTTATTCACAAAATAATTAACCATTCAACCACAAAATAAAAAGCCTTGACTCCATTCCCTGCTCAGATAAAATGAAATCAAAGCATCATCTCACAGTGAAGATGTGAAGAAACATCTCTTTTTTTCTGGTCCCTGGAACTTTATATTCTTCAACTGCCACAGCCTCTTCAACTTTATATTCTGTACTGCCATAGCCTCATCACATAGAATGGAAACTAGTTTCTCTCTTGATGCTTTAATAGTAGCTTTAAGATGTGGGTTTGCCACTCTTTAGTTTGAAGGAGGAGATCACCTACATCTGTTTGGTAAGCTAGTGGGTGAATTCATCCTCTGAATTTTTAAAAGAAAATAATTTGCCTTTGGTAAGGTCTGTGTACAAGATATGTACAAGATGTTTAAAGCACAGCTTATTCATCGGGCTTGTAGGGATCTAAAGTGCTGCTGCTGCTGCAAAGTCAACTTGATGGTGAAACCCTCAGATGTAGAAAAAGTAGCGCCCAGCTGTAAGTGCTTGTAGGGGTGGCCAACTCTTAATCTGGCACCTGGGCATTTAAATATGCCTAATACTGATTTAAGAAGAATTAGCCTTTCTTGATGATGGTCCATGTTTTTCTTCTTACTCAATTGTTTATAGTCCAGCATGTCTTTGTCAAAGACAAGCAAATATGGAACAAATAGGTCAGTGCTTTTTTTGACTATCAAAACATCATTTTACACTACTTCAGATTTGCCAATGGAGCAGTAAAAAAAGAAGATTTTCTCGGCTATGTAAATTCCTTAAAAGCTTACTGGAGTTGAATATAAGATCTAATGAGAATAGTTTCAAATATGCAGAAATAAACAGAGTTAACGTACTTTAGAAAATTTTACTGTTTCTTTGGGAATAATCTGCATAGAAAGAAGGAATTAAAATCTGCAGAAAGCGCTCATCATGCAATTGCTAGTCAGTTAAGTCAGACTAGAGGCAGCGCTGTTAAGAGATGGGTAGTCAGTGATGGTCATTTACTGATAGTCATTTATTTTTCTCAGTTTCATGATAACTGAGGCATCTAATGGAATGGAAAAGATGGTCAGTCTTTGAATTTTCAGATTCTGATGAGATGATGAAAAGTAACATTTAAAAAGTAACTGCAGAAGCATCTATCAATAGTATGAAAAATCATGCATGTGAAGTTGAAGAAATTATGAAGGGAACTCCTACTAACTTCTATAAATTTTATTATAAATTAAGTTTCATCTTTGATGAAAGTTGAGTTCTTTTTCTCAGTTTGGTCTTTGATGCACTGTCCTAGGGGGTCTTCGGAGCTGAAACTCTCCTCTCTCCCACACACTCCATGTTTTGGTGCTTGCTCAAAGACTGGATACAAGACTAATTTAAACTTCAGCACAAGTAGTCATAACAACAGAATATGAGAACTAAGATATGGCTTCTTGGCAGATTAGAGCCACACAAATCATGTCTGAGGCTATTTTTGTCCCTTTTCTTCTTGAGCTCCTATGGTTATATGGCTAGAGAAACAATTTCTTCAGGCAACTGACTTGGCTTAAAAAGTATTTTTTCCAGGTTAGCTTTTGTCTGACCATTCACATCAGATAGCAAGACTCTCAAGGCTTTTCACTGGGATGACTGACAAAAGAACTGCTCTGTAAGGTGCATGTAGTCTCTGGACAGAAAGATCTGTTTATTGCATTGAACTTTCTTGAAAGCTAATTTTGAGGTAACAGACCTAGGAAAATGAAAGCATCAGTTTTGACATCTGAAGGTAAATTGTTAAAATACCAATATATGGAAGACTATGCAGCTAATTAACTTTTACAGCCAATATATAGGCAATTAGCTTTTTCACATTTACCATATGTTTATCCTCCTGCAGGGAGTATTTCCAGGAGGAAATCATAATGGGAAATAGCTCTGCTTTTATATGAGAATAAGATCTGTTGATGATAGCTACAAATTCTTACATAGCTCATGCTATCTTCAAGGGAAGGTGCTGTTGAAATCTAAGAAGTGAAATGTGGGAATTCAGCAATTAATTTCATTATTTCACAGTGTTCATTTCCATAGGTGGTTAACTATAAATGATCTTTTGTCTTTTCCTTAGAACAGTTTAAAGCAGTCAGTATCAGCAGTAGTCAGGAAAGAACAGCACATCAATTTAACCAGACTCTAGCTGAATTAATTGCTATACAGAGGTACAGTGTGTTTCTACACTCCCAGATTGCTCCTCCCAGGAATAACTACTTATTACCTGTCTATTATACAGTAAGGTACAGTCCCTGGTCATGGCTATGCCTTTGTTGTTGTGACAAAAACCTGTACTCAATCTTTTTTTAATGTTAGGACTTGTCTCCTGAAATATTGATTAATATCTGCTCTTACCACACAACCAATTGTGGCAAATATTTCAGTTGTTATACTACTGACTGGTGCTCCTGCAGTCCTCCTCTCTTCACTGTAACCAAATGACTGCAGTCGTCTTGCAAACATCTGAAAGTATTAAATGCAGAAAAACTTTGCTGCCAGTTCATAATGCTGTCTTGAAATGATAAAACTAAAATGCATAAATTAATGCATTGACTGCATTGTCTGTGACTGCTTTTGAACTACATGAAGCTCTCCAAGTCAATTTGCAGTCCTAGTCTCTCACCAAAAGAACTCTTAGAACACACTGAAGTCTCCTTTTCTGCACTTGTGGTAGCAAAAAATGGTTGCCCAGTGGCAACCGTAAGGGCCATGAAGGTGCCTAACACTTTCCCAGACGTGCAGCTGGGAGATGCTGGACTCCTGGGGCTCACAGTGGGATTGCCACCTGCATGGCTGCATCACTGCTCTGACAGGCCTTGGGAGGGAAAAGCTCTGTTGCCATTTGCCAAAGAGCCCTTGCTTCTCTAGTGGTGATAGGGGAAGGAGAGATATTTGCTTGGGTGCTCAGGTGAGTTCTCAGATCAAAGCAAATTGAATGAAAGGAATGGATCATAAGGAATTAGGTGCTGCTGTGGTGAACTGGTTGTTGTTTGTCACTATCCCAATTTTAACAGTCAGTCCATAATTAAATAAGGCCTGACACAAAAGCTGCAGCAGTATTTGCACATTGGGCTGGTTCCATGATATTGTTTTTCAATTTATTCCATATAAATCCCTTATATATTTATTTGACTAACTATGACATTTATCCTGAGGTAGCAGTAGCAGAATATTTATTGTGAGAAGAGAGAATAAGAAAATGAAGGATTATTTTAGTTATGTCTGCCTTAATCTTTGATCCTAGAATTGAACTGTATTATTAAAAATATTATTTAAAATATCTGACATGGTTTCTGTCCAAGTATATAACTATAAAAATATGAATTTTATAATTACAACTATTTAAAAAATGTGAATGGATTTTTTTTTTATTTCAACACTGTGATGTGACAATGAAAATATAATATCTAAGATAAATAAGACAGGATTTTTAAAATGTTTAATACTAAATGTTTCTCCCAATAGCTATGGGAAATATGTTTCTCATACGTAAAACTGCTGTGTTTCCTCTCTTTTCTTTTTGAAACATGTTAACTATGCTAATCTGACTAATAACTATGATAATCTGACTAGTCTACACTTTCTTTTTGTCTTATGAAGGCATTAATTTCATTTTCAAGTTATTGAGCTCTTTCTGGTTTTAATGGAGATAAATATTCTAAAGAAACAGTATGTTAAAGCTCTTAATTTAAAATATGACATATATTGAAGACAGAACAACTCATTCTGAAAATAGGTCTTTTAATGTTATTATTTAAATTAGTTTAAATTAGTAAATTATTTTGACTACTGCAAAGTGTCACTCCTTGCTGAGTTAAGTATTGAGCATTGACATTGGTAATATATCATCATAATAATTTGCTATTTCAGAAAAGTTCTTTTCAATCTCCCTTATTTAGAATATTGTCTAAATATTTCATTTTGGAAAAATAAATTCTTCTTACTAAGTGTTTTAATTTGAATGCCTTGAAACACTTCATGAAAGAAGGAAATATAACTTTATCACCTTAGAGTTGCTCAAAGCACACTGTTGGATAAGATTTAAACCCATAATTTTCTTGATAAACTGCATAAATTGGAAACTTATCCTTAGTTCAAACAGGGAACAGTTCTCCAAATTTTGTATTACTTAACCAAAATAAGAATGGTAGCCTTGGTAGCATTATGCAAAAATGTGTTAGGATCGAAGATAAACAACAGTGACTAATGTAATGCAATTGCAAAAAATACAATTATCCTTTTTTTATCAGGAAATAAAAATAGGAAAACTGACCCAATGGCACAGGATGTACCTCTTTTTGCTTTTTTGGTAGAGCTCCTTTCTGTCTGAATGCTTTCACCTGCATTGTAAAGTAGATAAACAGCAAAGAGAGTCCAGAAGGCTGCAGTTGTAATGATCCTTCAATGAAATGCTCCTGTAATGCAGTGCAAGCATGCTATGGTACAATTGCGAGTGCTAGATGTGAAGAAAAACATTTTCCATCTGTTTAATACACAGACTGTGTGGGGTTTCATTTTAATTTAAGAGATTAACTTTACAATATGAATATGTCCCAAATGTGAAAAATATAAAAATGTCCCAATTTAAACACTGATGAAACTACAGAATCTGCATTTTGGAACCTTTAAAGGACAAATATTTTATCAGGAATTAGAGGAAGAGCTAACGGAAATCAGGAACAGAACCAGAAATATTTCTAGATACTTGTAACCAAATTTATTGCCACACTTTTTGTCTGTGAATATCTTTTCAAAGGTAGCACATTAATCACATTAACAAAACCAGGCATTTAAAACTGCCTTGAGACACACTGAGAATAATTTTTTGACATTTAAGTATGTGCTTACCCTTTTGTTCCATAACATTTACAATAAGCTTATGGTTTTCTTCTCAAGTTTCATATCTACAGTAACATAAAAGCAAATGCATCTGTTAATTATGCATTCATTATGTGTGTTTGTTAATTAATCTTGAAAATGAAATAGCAAGGAAACTGAAGGTCGGCAATAAAGATGTTTGCAAATTGGAATTGGAGCTATCAGGGAACAACTGTCTATATGACAGTCAAAAGCACTCTTTTTTTTCAATTTTCCAAGATGATTTTAATGGCTGTGTCAGAATAAAACCTATTCATCTATCAAAAGTGACTGTAAGAGGGCTGAATTAGTCTTTTGTCATGAATTTTATGAATGAGCACTCAGCAGTCATGGATGTTGAGGCCCAGACAGAAAATATGTTACTCGAGTTCCAAGTTCAGTGCACTCTTGTTCACTTGTCAAAAAACTTGGTGCAATCTTGCTTTAATCCTACAAACACTTTTTCATGGGATTAGCTCTTCAGTTCTCTGATATAGCAATTTGTTTGGCACAAATATTCTTGATGGTTTTTGTCTCAAATAGCATTTTAAAACTTTCCACCAATAAAGCAATATTTTAAAAAAAATTCTTTTTCTACTTCTGTTTAGGCAGAAAAATATTTTGAAAAAGATAGGAATATAGCTGAAGATGACCAGTCTGCTTTATTTTCACTGACATGATACTCAGTATTTCATAGCAAAGTCATCTGTTGCATAGAATGTGAACAAGTGAAGATTAATTTTACATATTTAGCAAATATCCACATTCTTGCTGTCAAAGTGTCCTTAATGGACACTTAGCTTTGTTAAATAATTCTTCCACTTCCCTTTGAGATTCCCTTGTCCAGCCCTAAGTATTCAGTTGCATGAAGAGATTATTCCTGTGTTCATTTATTTAAAAACAACTACTAATGATGAAGTACTTTAATTGCTGGCAGCCTTTCTCACTGCATTGCTTTATGAAAAAAATAAAGAAAGCTGATCACTGAATACATTTGTTAATCACAACTGATCACAAATATGTTTGTTAATAATAATAGAACACACTGGGAAAGTGCATCTTTCTCTTCTGTTATGGGGAAGATACACAAAACGCAGGTGCAACTTTATTTAGGAGAGAAAATGGCTAAGTTAACTACAGAATAAAATTAAATAGAATCCCTCAAAAGTCATAGAATCTCCAAGTGTCATAAAATATGATAATCCACAGGCAAATCCTGATGCTGGATTTCTTTCTTGATACATGTAACTGAAGTATGCATCTATTATGGTTTGTCTTTTTCTCATTTGCACTTGGTTTGACAAAACTAAGAGATTTTAAGCCTTGTTGTACATCCATTTTTCTTCAATCCATAACATTATAAGATTGATGACAAAGCTGCCACTCTTCTTTACATTTGTTTCTGAAATTCTTCCATTGACATGTCATGCTCTTCATATGACTTCTGCTGAAAACATTCCTCACAACCTAATACCTTGATTTAATATTTATTACCTTCTGTTAAATCATTCACAGAATCACAAAAGCACATAATTTTTAGGTTTGAAAAGGACCTCTGGAGACCATCTAGATCAACCCCTCTGCCAAGGCAGGGTCACCTAGAGCAGGTTACACAGAAACGTGTCCAGGTGGGTTTTGACTATCTTCAGAGAGGGTCCCTGCCCTGTGGCCCTCCTTGGCAGCCTGTTCCAGTGCTCTGCCACCCTTATGTAAAGAAGTTATTCCTCATTTGAGGTGAAAAGTCCTGTGTTTTAGTTTATGGCCATTGCTCCTCATCCTGTCACTGGGCACAACTAAAAAGAGTCTGGCACCATCCTCCTGGCACACACCTTGGAGATATTCATGTGCATTGATGAAATCCCCTCTCAGTATTCTCTCAACTAAACAGGCCCAGATTCAGCAGTGTCTCCTAAAAAGAAAGATGCTCCAGACCTCTCAGCATCTTTCTGGCCTCTTGCTTCAGGAGTTCCTTGTACTATTTGAGCTTTCATTCCAATGACTTTGCAGATTAGGCAGGACTGTAGGGAGGAGTCTTTAAAAAAGGATAGAGGTGCATAGCAATTGCACACAGGTTTTTTTTTTTGTATAATGGGGCAATTATTGTTTTAAATCTGTGTATACGGTATTTATCAATTTAATGTAAGAACTAATTAACCTAGATGTAGTATATTTAATCTTTTCTTTTGTCTTATATTTCTCTTTTCCTTACTTCATTTTTACTTATTAGCTTGATCATTGTTTCTATTCTGACTTTATAGCACTTCATCACTTCACTCTAATAAATCAGAACTTTTTTCACATTTAAGTAAATGTAATTTTAATTTGATTATTTATAGGTGCAGTATTATTAAATTTGTGGTGCAATTAGTTCAAATAATTTTACACCAAAGACTTTTTTTTTAATGTAAAGAAGGCATGTCAGTGTTGTTTGTTTTTAAAATAGGTAGTGCACAACTGGAGACAAATCTTTGGGTTTGATTTTTTCAACTCTTTTGAGCACCAGCTTTCCTTCATTTCTATCATTCATGTTTTAATTAGTTATATGTCAACAATAATTAACAGTTACAGGCAATTTGAAACTAACATTCCTCACAATGCTAAGAAACAGAGAAGTTTTGAACAGTTTAGTGGGGGGGTGCCTGAATATATTGATGGCTAGGCATTCAAGCTATCACAACATACAGTTCAGTGTACATATATAGTTTCTCTGAAAGACAAATAGTTTATATTTGAGCTAAGAAAGGGCAGTCAGATAAGGAACTCAGAGAAGCAGGGAATTTGCAAGAGCACTTAGAATGAATATTTTTGGCCAATACTGCAATTTTCAAGGCACTAAAAGAGAGTTAATAGAAGTGAGAGATGAAAAAAAATGAAATCAGGTTGTTTACTTGTTTTCTTTTGCAGATGGACCAAGTATCAGCTAAGAAACATTATGCATAAGAAATCTGTAAGTAATAGAGGCAGCTGTCTATTTATTAGCTATAACTGACATTATAACCATTTCTCTGGCAAAAGTTGTGTCAGGTTATTTCCTGCCATACAATTGTATTTCTTTCTTCCGCTGCCTTTTTGTACATTTAGGCTTCATTATTCACTTTTGATCTTTTTATTGACCAAGTGACCTTCAAGGCTCATGGAACTGGCAGAGGCAGTTGGGCTGAAGTGGGAGCTGAAGATGAAATGCCGACAGGGGCAGACCTTGGAGGCACGACTGGAGCCTTAATGGGCCGGTGCCAGGGTGGACTGCACTGGCTGCATGACAATTGCCGAGGAACCCTGCAGAATGCACAGTCTCAAAATTTTTCTCGAGGTGAACTGGGAAAGTCATTTGAAAGCAGCCTGGGAAGAGATATGGCTTAGAGTAGAAATGAAGCCTCAATCTGGTCCAGGGCATGGATTAATGCGAGGAAGAATGCATTGCTTCAAGGCTGACCAGACTGTCCCAGGGATCAAATGCCAGTCAGGGCTGCAGTGAGGCAGCCGATGCTATATCTACAATGCTCAAGAGAGAGATTAAAGATAAGTAAAGTCTGATTTATGAATTCAGTTAGGGACATGGTTATTTATAATACAACATTCTTGTTTGATGTTCCTGTCTACATTTAATTTTATTTCTGATAGTGATATCTCTTGTTGCTGTTATTCTTCCAAGCCCTGCTCATTTTTCCTTTCCTAGTCATATATAAAATATTTTTGCGAGGTTCTTCTTAGACATAAATATTTCCATTTGGTCCATGTCCATTTTAGTTAAAGGAACAGCTACAGAAATGTTCTACAGAGGTAACACTGAAGTGTTGTTGTCTTCTAAAAATATTTTTTGGTATCATAACTGGAAGTAGTTTAAATAATGCATATTTAAAATATAGTTAGCTTAGTTCTAAATCGTATCTTTTTAATAGTATAGCTTTGTTGGGAAAATTCAAAACTTCTCTGGGTAGTTAATAGATGCCAGTTAAGGACTATTGCAGAGAGAATATACTTTCAAAATATGATCTAAAGATGGTTTGCATCTTGATTGAGGGATACTAAGAGGAAGGTGCCATATATTGGAAATTTTCAGGTGCAGTAGTTTGGCAGAAAAAAGAAAAAGAGACTGCATTTTTGGGAGAAGAAAGTGAAGCTGTAGAGATCAGTATAGAAGACAACTAGCTGACTTGTCTAAATAAATTATTAAAAAATTATAAAAACAATGAGCTATTTAATGTACTGAGTCTATATACATTATAGAATGCTTACCCCTGAAAACCCCTTAAGGTACTGTGAGGCAGCAACGAGGTTTCTTCCTCCTTTTCTTCAGGTTTAACAACAATAACTCTCTCAATCTCTTTTCATAGGAGAGGTGCTTAATCCCGCTAATCATCTTCATGGCCCTTTCCTGGACCAGCAATAAACAGGTCCAGATCTTTCTTTTGCTGGTGACCTCAGACCTGTACACAGTACCATGTCACAAGAGCAAAGCTGGAGGAAAATCCCCTTGCTCAACCTGATGGCCACACTTCTTTTGATGCAGCCCAGGTTGTGATTTGCCTTCCAGGCTGTGGGCGCACACTGTCAGCTCATGTTCAGCTTTTCACCCATGATAACCACCGAAACCTTCTCCACAGGGCCGCTCTGAATCACATATTTTCCCAATCTGTACTCATATCTGGGACTCTTACCAACTCAGGTGCAGCATCTTGTATTTAGACACACTGAACTTCATGAGATTCTTGTGCGCTCACCTCTCAAGTTTGTCCCTCTAGATAGCATCCTGTCCTGTTGTGTCCTTGGAGACAGCTTCATAAGGTGAAGGAGTTTTAGCAGTTTTAGAGAGCACTGTTCTTACCAAGATATCTCTTGGCAAATATGTGCAGCATATTTTCACTTTTTTGGATTTTTTCACATTCATATGGTCATATGGTTTGATTATTTTTCCCAGATAAACATCTTCTTTCCATCAGGATAAGTTAAAATAATGTTCATGTTTTCAAATCTGGGTAGGCTTTGTTTCAAATCTGTCTGTGATGTTTCAGTGTGCATTAACCTGCAAGTTAGGTGTCACAGGAAAGTTGAGATACATGAAAAAAGTTCCTACTGTGTACAAAGTTAATGAGACAAGGCTAAGCTAGCTAGAGTTACTTCAGCATAAGCTAAGAGTGTCTATACAAGCAGCTACTATGAATCAGGTGAGATGGGTGAAACTTGCACCACATCTTGTTCATTTATATCAGCCCTTTATTGTGCTTTGAAATCTAATGTTTTGATATAGTATGCATCATAGGTTGTAAATATATAATTAATACAGTATTTCCCTGCTATGTTTTACATTCAATTTTCTCTTCCTGAGCTGCATTAAACTACTGCATTTAAAAAAACCCACTCATATTCATGAGTGAGTTGAGTTGTATTGATTTCATTTAAAGTTCTTAACTGATATATATTATTTTGTTCAGTGTTAGATTACTAATGTGTATGTACAGTGATACACAGCAGTGATATAACACTGAATATTAATAATGAGTTAGCCTAGAAGTAGTTAATTTAATACTCTTTCTCTTTACATTGCATACAACCCACATTTTCAATTCATACTTTCTTTAACACCCAGCCTGGTAAAGTTTCACATATAAGTTTTATGTAACTAGTCACTTGTGGTAGAGTGCACTATTCTATCACTCCAAGCCTGCTACATGAACAAAGTCTAGATCTTTAAGATGTGCCTTTTTCACAATGCTCTGATGCTGTTTACTCAGTATGAATCATGTATTTTGTGCTCCTAGGCTGTGTTAGGCTATGTGAACTTGCTTTGGGCTTGACAGTTTTACCCTAAGCGCCAGATACTGAAATGCAGTTTAGGCTCCTCCACTTCCATCACTAAACTGCAACACAGCTTAAGCAAGATCATTTTCTTTAAGAATGGCATGGTTAATTTGTTTTAAATGTCCTGGACATGGGTAATGTTATGAAAGGGAGGACTGGACTGCCCTATAGGGTATAGTCCCACAGAGTTTACATACAATCTACATCTACAGTCTGCACTGCCCACACCTCTGTTTCCACCAGGAGTGTCCGAATTAATGTAGGGCTGTGATGCAGCTCACCAGAGTGGTGTCTTACTGAAAAACTAAAGGTGTTGGTTGCATGCCTTGGGGAAGGGATAAGGGCTTTCAGGTATGTTTGAGTCTGCAAGGTGTCCTTGGATTGTGTTGGAGGATGTAAAGGGGGGAGGAAAGCAATCCTAGTATAGGTTTGTCCTTATGTTTTTGGGAACTGACTACATCCCTCCTCCAGCTCAGGTTTAATCTTGGAAAAAAGCTGGCTGGTACAGTTGAATAGTGAGCTAGTGGTTTTGATTATGTGAGTAAGTGCTTCAGTTTTCTGAAGCCTAGCCTCTTGTGCTTTCCAACATGGAGAACATGTAGTTCTTCTTTAGGATTCAGGAAAAATAGGTGGCCTGAATCATGCTATTGACCTACTATCTATTTGTAAAAAGGTCTGAACTTTGCCTTTTAGGCAAATAAAGTGATTCCCTGTTAGCTTTGACATGCACTTTCACACTGTTCCAGGGATTATTACCTTTCATCTCTCTGAGGGCCTAAATGAGACACAACGTTGCTGCTATAAACCAAAAAGTATAGATCCCAAGCAAGAGTTGCCACAGTTTTTTTATAATTTGGCAAAACTTTCCAATATTTACGTTAATAGACTTCAAGGAGATTAGGATACTATTCTCCTGCCAGAGCTGCTAATGATGGCAGAAATCTTCTCTCTTCCTCTTTCTCCTTCTTCTCTTTCTCCTTCTTTTTATCTCTGAGGTTTCTGGAAGATATTAACATCTCTGTTAGTTTGTCAAATCCCTGGGAGATTTTCCCCAAACTGCCACACCTGCAAAGAAGCTGGAGGAAGCTGCTCTGTCTAGCTTCAACCAGAATAGCTTATCATTAAAATTAGACCGGCGTTGTCTAGTAAATACAGAACTGACAGCCTGTGGTGTATTACACTGTGTGCTGCTGCCTTCTCATGTAAAACAGCTGGTTTTAAACACCAAATTAACAAACAGCCTTTCAAAGGCAGTTTCCCTTCACAAAGCAGTGTTTGTTGCCCTCATTGGCCTCTCTGATATCACTGCACTGAGATACATATATAGCATAGTTAAGTTGCAGTAAAAAATTATTTTAAAATTTTAGTTATGAACCATAGGTGATACCAGTAAATTCAGCAGCCTCTAGGAACTCTCAGGAGAGGCTGAGGTCAGCTGTAGAGCACAGCATTAGGAAGGATGAATCAATCCTATCCTCCCATTTATCAAGGCTGATACCCATGACAGGCTGACAAAGAACTAACAGTTGTGGGAGAATATTTAGCCTCCAAATTTAACAAGCACTTTGAATGTTTGCCATCAGTACCTAAGTTTTCACAAAAATTCTTTTCCTCCACTCTTTCTTTTGTCAATACTGATAAAGCACCAGCCTAGGTCTATAGTGTCAGTCCAGGTTTGTTTTCAGCAGTAGAAACTTGCTTTTGGTTTAGATATTGGAGAATTTTTTATTTGTGCTCAGAATTGCATGTTAGGTATGTTTGTAAACCTTAGACTTCATAAAGAGGAAGACTTGAGCTTAAATACTGTAATGAAAGGAATTTTGGTCGGTCCTATAGAGCACAAATAAGGCCAAGTGGTCAAATTCTAAAATGCATTTACACTTGCTTTTGACAGGACATAGGATTATGGATACTGCTGTTCATGGAATGCTGCCTGGAACATCTATAAGCCTTCAACTGCTTTGCAAGGCTTGTATCATTAAAACTGTGGAGTCATGGTATGCATGAACCTTAAAAAAATCCACAGAGCAGGAAAAAAATAGTTCAGATTTGAATTTCTAAATCTTGTTGTAATACAAGCTTGTTAGAATAGTATGCAGTGTCAGGCGAATCAGGCAAGAGGGAAATAATTAACAGATTCTTTGTTTCTTTTGACCTCAGCTTCCCTGATGCTGATTAGGGAAGTTTCTTCTAGGGTAGGAGGCCAGGAGTTTTCAGATGAAAAAAAATATTATACACAGACATGGCATAATATTATGTCACCAGTCACACAGTAACATGCCCTCAAAGGAAAATATATTGCAGTATTCATTTACAAGATCTTTTAACAGTCGTGTATGATAAATGTCATTTTGATTTGGTCTGGTATACTGTTCTGTCTTGAGATGATAATTCTTTGCATTTTAATTTTATTAATGTAGCAAGTTAGAAAATGGTGTTCTGGATCCACATAGTGAATTATTCATTGCATTTCAAATATTAAGTTGCCATCAAATGCTTTCTGATCTGCATTACATAGAGTCATGCTGAATCTCTAATGTTTGGACTGCCTGTGTAATGAAGAACCTCTCAGACAGTGTTCAATCAAAATACACTTGAGAGAAAGCAGACACAGTATTTTGATAAGCATCACAACTACCCCATAGTGTTATTTTGTTCAGGTTTTTTGTCTCCTATGCAGGAAGAATCCAGAGATCACCACATCTCTTCTTAGAACTACCTGCTCAAGCACAAGAGTTTTGATTTTAAAGCTATTACAATGAAATCATTAGATGAGTTTCTAGGGCTGCTGTTACTGGTAAAGCTGTTAAAATAATTATTTAAACATCTCTTATTTACCCGACAGAAAACATACTCTCACTATTCTTTATAAGAAACGTGATAATGTGTTCAAAAAACAAAACATGTCTGTAACATAGCCTTCGATTGCAGTCAGAAAAAGGTGCTCTTCACCCCTTTTTGTGTTGAGAATGTAAAAATAAAAAATAAAACAAAACAAAAAAACAAACAAAACCCCAAAACAAACAAACAAACAAAAAAACCCCCACCAGAACTCATATGACTAAAACCAGGACTTTTAAGAGTTTAAAATATATGGAGATTAAGAAGAAAGTTAACTGTTTAGAGAGTCTAAGTCAGAAGGGAATGTTTGTTATTTTTAGACATTGACTGAATTTATTCCTTGTTGTTTTAGCAGATATGCTGTTTTGCTTTTGTTGTATTTGCTGTTATTTTAATGGCTGAATCACCTGATCTCTGTTTTAGTGCTCCACAGACACAAGTACTGGAAGACAAAAATCTGCATCATTCAGGTACACCGGAGTTTTTTGTTTCGCTTCTTTGTCCTTGGGGGTCTGGGGGAGAAATTGCTCTCAGAGTAAAGC